CAAGGCTTTTAATTCACTTCATTCTAGGCCCAACATGGCCCAAAATGTTGAAATAAATTAGTGTGGGTCCAATTAGAGCCCAATTAGGGTTCTAAGCCCATGATAGTCTAATTGGAAGCTTATTGGTCCATTTGGATCCAATAAGGAAGTCCTAGTCCAAAATGGACTTAAACAAGGACTTCTAGGGTCTCCAATTGTTTGATGACTATTTGTAGTACTTGTATGATGCCTTTGATTGGAGTTTTTGATGTCATAATAGTAGGTGTCAATCATGTTCTTAAGTTTTGGATTCACATTAACTTGAGTGTATAGATTACATAACACAAAATTTCCAGTTGTGACATGAAAGTAATGGGAAAAGTGAGTACACAAATGTCGTTTATAATGACATTCGGATGTAGTAATATCCTAAAAACATATTTGTTTTATTACAGTCATAATGTGAAAACTAGAACCCCTACTAAACGCTCTCAATGTAAAGAGATTTAGGAAACCAAACGCGACCCCAACAATTTCTTGCAAGTCGTGTAATTCAAATTAAAGTTATATGATCATGTATACCCAATATAACTATCACTAATGCGTTAGTGATTCATTGATATAATTAGATCCTGTTTGTGTGTTCTCATGCTATAGCAACTTAACCTGTTTGTTATGTTCTGTTCTGGTATTGTTTGATTCTCTTCACTGTTTGTTCTATTATGGTATTGTTTGATTCTCTTCACCATTTGTTCTGTTATGGTACTGTTTCTTTGTGTGCTTCATTGTACTAGAAGTAATGAATAGCATTCTCCTAAACTATACCTATAATAGTTTACTAATGTTCTACCTGGACTGTTACTAAAAAGACTCATTTATCTACTAAGTTATTCTTATACTTTGAAAACAGAGTTTTGTATAACTATAAAGTAACATAACTATAAAAGAGTTTTGAAATGTTTTGAAAACTTATAAATAACATAAGTAACCTTTTCAAATATGTTTAACAACAAACATTTACACAATCATCATTGTGTTCAACCTGTATCCCCCCCCCCCTTAAAATAGTTAAAAGATTCATTACGAGGTATGAACTCACCTGATGTGGGTGATTCAAACGGGTATGCGCGTACGGATGAGAAGTTCCACTAATGAAGTCCCGAGACACAATAAGTCCTAAATGATATATAAGGACACATATTGACATGAATATAGTGTTTATAAACAACTATATGAAAGGAAACACCTTCCGGGACTAGGAAAGACCTTGACCAAGTGTTGGAATCACATGTGATTCAACAAAGGAAGGTAAAATGGCTCACATGAGTTTAATACCATGGGTTTATGGCCCAAGGGAGTTTACGGCCGTAAACTCATGGTTACTCATGTGTAAGTGCAAGTTTGAAGGCTAGGGGATGATTTAGGGACCTTAGCTCTACCCTAGGATGAGGAATACCACTTTCTTTGGAGTTTTTGAGGTGTTCACGGCCCTAATGAGTTTACAAATGTAAACTCATGGCCATTTATGTTTATAAGGGTTGTTTAGGGTCCTAAAGGTCATAATGAAGCATCCTAAATTCAAGTCTAAGCCTTAGGAAGTGTTTGTGGCATCAAAACACCCCTAACTTGAGTTTTCGGCCCTTGGACCATTTTGGCATGTGTTTGTGGCCGTAATCACCTATGGGTGATGGTATTTTGATTGTTTTAGGTCCTAAACACATCAAGGTAAAGTGCTAGGCTAGTCTCTTGGCTTAAGGAAGGAACTTGGGGCATTTTGGCACCATAAAAGGGAGTTCACGGCCCAAGAACATCCTTGGCCGTGAACTCTCTTCTAACCTTTGTTTCTTGAAGTTTCTAAGGTCTAAACATGTGTGATATAGCGTACAACAAGTTATAAGAAGAGTGCTTATGATATAGGAGCTTGAACTAGTCGATTTGGCCAAGAACACTAGTGTGTGTTCTTGGTGTTCTTGGTTTTTCTTGAGTATCTAAATAAACATGATTTTCATGGATGAAATCAATGTAAGAAGCTAGTTAATAAGATGTATTAACTAATCAAGGGATAGAATAATCACTCTTTTGAAGATCTATGGTGATTGTTGTTATGATAGTTGAGAGAGAACCAAGGAGGATTGGCCAGGAAATGAGAGAAATGACTTAAAATGACCATTTGCCTTATATATGCTCTTGAGTTTATGGCCCCCATGAGTTTACGGCCGTAAACTCATGGTCTTGTGGCCGTGAACTCACTTAGATGGGGTTAGGGTTCGTTTTGCTACACTGTGGTTCTAGCGGTTACTTTCTAACACTTATTCCTTAAGTGTATTAGGCTCAAAACTCCTTAGAATGACATGTAACAAGGATAGAACTTTGTACTAATGATTTTGACACTCAGTTGAGTTGACTGACTGAGTATATAGAAATAAAAAATTTTCGGGTTGTCACAATGATGGGATCTGCTGGGTTCTCATCCAATGATACCCTTTTTGCCAAGAGGAGTCCTTCTTCTATTCGATGTATGATGAAATGATATTTTCTGTCGATGTGTCTGGATCTCCCATGATCCCTTGGTTCCTTGGATAAGGCAACTGCACTTTCACTATCATAGAAAATTTCCATAGGCTCCTTTATAGCTGATATAACTCCAAGGACTCCAATGAAGTTCTTTAGCCATATAGCCTCCTTTGCTGCCTTGCTTTTCGCTATATACTCTGATTCGCAGGTTGAATCAGTCACTGTCTCCTTCTTGGAATTTTTCCAAGTAATTGCTCCTCTGTTTAGGGTAAAGACCCTGCCTGACTGAGAGCGGAAATTATCCCTATCAGTCTGGAAGCCAGCATCACTATACCCTACTACTCTCAAGTCATCACTCCCACCGAGGGTAAGGCCCCAATCCTTAGTCCTCCGCAGGTACTTGAGAATGTTCTTACCGTAATCCAATGAGCCTTGCCAAGGTTCCCCTGATATCTACTGACCATGCTCAATGCAAAGTCCACATCAGGATGAGTACAAGTTATAGCATACATGATTGATCCTACATTGGAATCATACTGTAGTCGACTCATCTCAGCTATCTCAGCCTCTGTACTCGGGCTCTGAGTCTTACTCAGTCTAGCATTACTCTGGATCGATAACTCTCATTTCTTGGAATTCTACATACTGAATCTATTCAGCACCTTATCCAAGTAGGTACTTTGACTAAGTCCAATTAGTCTTTTACTCCTATCTCTCAAAATCCTTATCCCTAGGATATAGGCAGTTTTACCAAGGTCCATCATGGCGAAACACTTCCCAAGCCAGGACTTTACTTCCTGAAGAGTTGGGATATCATTTCCCATGAGTAGTATGTCATCCACATACAATACCAAAAAGCTAACTATACTCCCACTAGCCTTGACATATACACAAGATTCATCTTCACTCCTCGAAAAACCAAACTCTTTGACTTTCTCATCGAAACAAAGATTCCATCTGCGAGGTGCTTGTTTTAATCCAAAAATGAATTTCTTAAGCTTACACACTCTATTAGGGTGCTCTGTGCTGACAAACCCTCTGGCTGACTCATGTAAACATCCTCATCCAACTTTCCATTAAGGAAAGTTGTTTTGACATCCATTTTCCATATTTCATAATCATGAAATGCAGCAATGGTTAGCATAACCCTGATAGACTTAATATTTGCTACTGGTGAAAAAGTCTCATCATAATCAACTCCCGGAGTTTGAGAAAATCCCTTTGCAACCAGTCGCGCCTTATAAGTGTGTACATTACCATCCATGTTGGTCTTCTTCACTACTAGAAAAACAGCCTTTTACGACGCTCATTGCGCGTCGTAAAAGGCTCAGACGACGTGCAAATGCGCGTCAAGGAAGGCCCTGTCATAAAGAGAGACGACGCGCTTTTGCGCGTCGTCTATAGACGACGCTCATTTACGACGCGCAATTACGACGCGCGTTTACGACACGTAATGCGTATCAAGGAAGGCCCTGTCATAAAGGAAGACGACTCGCATCCGCGTGTCGTAACCTTACGACGCTCGTGTTAATGACACGCAATGCGTATCAAGAAAGCCCCTGTCAAGAAAGGCCATGTCATAAATGAAGATGACACACATTTTTGCGTATCGTAATTTTAAATGTTTAAAAAAAATTATATATTTATTAATTTTTAAATTAGATTTGCATTTAATTTCTCATAATAGAAATAAAATACTTTTTTGATAGATTTACTAATTTTCAAATCAAATAACACATTAAAAGTCTCATAATACAAAATACAATACCATAAACAATAAAGATAATTCATTGCACTAAGGACCATGTTAACAAAAGAATATAACATTATATACCATAAGTACCGTCAAGTAATCAATCTCTTACAATGTTACTAAAAATACCCTCAAGTAATCAATGTCTTACAAAGTTAAGAGACTAAGGTTGTATGTAATATGGCACTAAGAAGCCCAAGAACTGTTTGTGTTTTTCCTGTTCCTGGTGGATCCTACATGGACAAAAGGTAAGAATTAACATTTTCAAAGTACAATGCCTCAATAAGGAAATCAATGGTAAAAGGCAAATCTGAATAAGAACAAACTTTATACATATATACATGGAAGTATTGTAATACACAATAACAGCAACAAATACCAAATTACCCGTTGCTTACCTTTTCTTATGGCCACCTCCAAAAGTGAGAATTTGATAAAAGATTTAGCTCACGCATTCTCTCATCAAGCTCTGTATCCAAAAGTGAGAATTTGATAAAAGATTTAAAAAGTGGGAAAATATCAAGAATATAGAGGATAAGTTCGCATGTCTGGTCATCACAAGTTTCTAGAACCTTCTGGACAACGTAATTTCCAAAAGGATCTTTCATCATTGCGTATAGTTTTGTTTTGCATTACAACAAACTCAGTTACCAAAAAGACAATTAATGTGTTTTTTATTTTTACAAAAAAAAAAGAGAGAGAGAGTTGCTGACCTGTAATGGCTCATTTTCATCAGTGGAACCAAGCATTTTGTTTACAAGAAGTTGGCGTTCATCTGGGCTTCCATAAGTTAAGCATTTCTCAACAACATTTGAAAAGACAACATGATAATATGAGAAAAATATCATACCTTCCTTTTCATAGCACAAAAGTTGTCAGAAGTAGAAGGGGGAAGAATGTGATGAACATTTTTCGTTGTAATTGAAGCACACAGCCTCGATGACTCATTGATTGCCATCACCTTAAATAAATAAATAAAAATATGTAGAATAATATAGAAAAAATCTATATGCCACCTCCCTTGTATTCTTTTTGTAAATAATCACAAGGTTATTTTGAAGTAATTTTCAAACTATTCATAAGTTATCGTTACTTATTGTTTTATGAAACTTTATTTCAAACATTATTATTTGTAAACTTAGTAAAAAAGTTCTTTCTATGTATTTATATTTTTTGTGCATAATAAATAATAAAATGGTATACTTATATTATTGATCCAATAATTAACCTCTTTGATAAACTGATACTCGTTAAACTAGACCTCCACATATTGAATAAGCAAAATAATATGATCTAATATAAAAATAGAAATAAAATGATATTTCATAAGCAATTAGGTGATGATATAGTAAGAGTAAATATGTTGTTCAAGAGATCACGAGAAGTAGGGATAAATATAGAGGTATGGCTCTCAACTTCCATTGACAGAAGGGTAAAATGGTTATTTACTCACGTTCATATAATTTATTTACAGCGCAGGTCAATCAAGGGTACTGACGATATTTTTCAAAAAGTAGTAAAAGCCCTACCTGAATCTTGTTGTTTGCAAAAATTTCCTCAACAAAAGATCTATCTTTGTTGTTTAATCCTACATGATGTAATCCGAAACCGAATTGTAGAGTGTGACTAAGATTCTGATCAGTGTCCTGAAAAACAATCATCTATAAAGCCTCCTCGGGCATGGAAAGAAACTGCCTTGCAAAAGAAAATAAAATATAAATTTAATGAATAAAATAGTATCTACACGAGCTGTCATTTCTAAAAAATTACTTAAAATATGTGAATGAGTTCGAATGCAGTGAGCCTTGTCTGCCGACGAGATGAAACAAAAATTAAAATTGTTTTGTTGGTGAGTGTGTAAATATGGCAGCAGAGGTTGCCTTATTCATGCTATTCATTCTTAGACAGAAGAATTTCCTTAGGTACCCTTGTAAATTGAAATGATTAATTATTAATAATTGAAATTTTCTTCTGTATTTGAGACTTTTATACATATGGAAAAGAAAGTTGACTTTCCTGTATACGAACTTCAAGAGGCACAGGTCGTACACTTGGTTTGAAATTGTACAAACCAATCTCCTCAACTCCCAACCAGCCAGCCAGCTTGAACTTGAAATTGTAACTAATGTACAAGAATGTTGACTGTTGAATTGCCTCCAGTTCTTGTCTCCATCTAAAAAGATTTGTTGATAGATTCGTCTCAAGCTCTGCTCTTCTTGTTTCAATCTACCAATCCATAAAAATAATCAGCACACATACACACACACACACACACACACACACACATATATATATATATATATATATATATATATATATATATATATATATATATATATATATATATACATATATATTATTTTTTAAATAACTCCAAGTAAAACTATTAGCAAACCTCTACTCGGGTAGCCCTACTGGCTACAAGGCTTTCTTTAAGTTCTGCTATTTCAGGATTAAGTTAACCTAGGAGAACACGAGATTTTTATATCATTGAAGATATGATAACTTGAATCAAAGATGCTGAGAACATGTATGATGTGGAAAAAAAAAACAAATGTAGCACTTAGAAAAGGAATAAAATGATAAATATGAATCAACGATTATACCTTCAATGCTCCTTCAGCATGGACAGATATTAACAACCTTCTCTCAGGTTTCTGCCAAAAGGAATATCATGAAAGAGATGTACACATTTTTGTATTAGTTAGAAAATTTACCTCAGAAGTTGAAGGTAAAAGACAAAAATGCCCTCATAATTTTAAGGAAATGAAACTTACCACCAGACACGAGCAACACTGAAGATCCCCTTACCATCATAAACAACAACTCCATCTTTGTTTTCAATACCAAGAGCAGAAACAGCAGCAGCAAATGCTTCTTCAGGTGGCAACATGTGTGGCAGCTGAATTAAAGGTTCCATATTTTCAGTTTTACTTCAAAAGAAAACACAGAAAGGATTGAATGATAAGTGTCTCACATTAGTAGTGCGATCAGATATCCCATATACATCAAAGAAAAGAGCACCAGGAATGTGTGCAAGCTGTTAATACCCCGTTTGAATAATATCAGCAAGTGATCATACAAGTGTTCGATAAAATGCCACATACAGAAGTTCAGAAAGCAAAAATATGCACTTGATACTCTTGAAGTGCATTTCTTTGTTCATCAGGCATGTACCAGGATGCATCCAGTACCTTCATATTAGGCTCACAAAGATTGGCATGAAGCCAGTCAAGAGTATATGTGGCGTTCCTCTGCTATGGAACCTTGAGGATACTGCTTTAAACAACTTAGACAGACTTAAAATCACATCTTGCTCAAGCTCAAGATGAAAGTCTGTGATTCTAAAACAAAGGAAATTATTAGTAGTTCATAAACAATTAAGGGTATTCATTTACATGTTTATAAAGTAGTGGTAGTTGAGAGCTCATAACAGAAATTCCAATGAAGGGTATGGAAACTAATAATCTTTCTTTGTAAAGAACACAAATTTCTTGCTTTTGGTCATATTCTCTTTTATCGATTAATCGTGGAGAACGTGAGATTTTTATATCATCAAATATATGATAACTGGAATCAATGATGCAGAGGACCTGTATGATAAGGAGCACTTAGAAAAAGAATAAATTGATAAATAGGAATGGTTGCATCTGAAATACAACAATTATACTTTCAATGCTCCTTCAGCATGGACAAATATTTGGTAGCTAAAACCATTTGATGGTGATTCACCAAACAAAAGTCTACAATTCAAGGTATATGAAACATTACTAGTCCCATCCTTACCCATCTTACCACCTCCATCTTTACACAGCCAAAAGATGAAAGAAATTATTGCCTACACTCACTCGAGCATTTCATCAAACATCTCATGTGCACTTGATCAGTTCACCTTAAATTAAAATTGAAAATGATAGAAATCCCACCAACAAGTAGATAACATAATCTAGATCAATAAGGAAGATGTAAGTAAGGAAAAAAAATAGTTTTGTTTCTCTTGTTAGTGTGTGTCTTAAGCTGTTGAGAAGCAAAAAGAAGAAGAAAAATAAAATGATAATTACCTTCTATTTTGTTCACAGAAGCTCTCTCTCTCTCTCTCTCTCCAAAGAATGTTCCCCAATTGTGGAAATTGAATTTGATTGTAGTATTTGTAATCACCATTTCTGTAGCAACTCATGCATCAGTTCCAGCATTGACCATAAATTGACCAGAAAAAATACTCTAGTAATAAGGCAAAAAGGGGTATTAATACTAACCAGCCCACCTCACTCGTCATCATCAAAACACCACAATTTACACCCATTTCTTGCATTCCAGATTCAACAGTAATGACAAACACCTATATTCCTAGTGACAATACGGTTAGACAGAATTAGTGAATTGTTAATAGTGTTTAAAACAATTTTATAAAAAATGAGTTAATGACATAAGATTTGGTGATTTAGGTAACAAAATACATGATAAATGATTTAGCTATGGAAATTAGTTATATACCTTAAGTAATGACCATCAACACTTGCAAGTATGACCGTTTTCCATCATTATTAGCACCTTTACAACAAAAATCATACAAATCATCAAAGAACTGTTGTTCATGGATTCCAATAACATCCAACTACAAAACCTACATAAGATATGAGGATCTAAAAAAGAAATATGTCTCAATGATGTAAACGATTTTCAGGAACTACTAAAGAGGAGTGAAAATATGTAAATGCTTTACCAAAAACTTAAGTGTGGAGATAGGATCGTTGATACTTATCTTGGTGGTGGACTGTGGCACGGCCGACGACGTCATACAAATCAGCGACTCCTGTTGCTTTCTTCCAAGTGAGTCTCCAAAGAACATCACCGCCCTCGACTTCGTTCACTGTCGCCGCCCTCAACTAAATAAGGTATAAGAGGCAAATAGGGTATCAGAGGCAAGGGATTCGACCAAAATAGGGTCGGGACGCAGTCTCCGAGACGGTGACGCTGATGAGTCGCAATCGCCGGTGAAGTGAGGCGAGCCTGATGAGGCCGCAGGCCGGTGAGATGAAGTGTTGCAGTCGTACTCTAGCTCGATCGTCTGGAGAATGTTGATGTGAAAAAACCCTAGTTATCGTGTGGGGGGCTTTAGGGTTGTTTTGGGATGCTAAGGGTTTGGTTAGAGGTATCAGTAGAGGGAACAAGGGATACTGAGAGAGGATCGATTGAAAAGGGGTTTTAATTTTTTTGGACAAAATGTTTCTTACCAATTAACAAACCCAAAATGATTCTTAACAATTATATTGTCGGAAAGTAGGGTAGAAGGGAGGAGGAGAGGATGAGGAACACTATATCTCCGGTTGTAAGCATGAGGATTCGCAGAACCCTAATTGCTAGCTCTGCGACGTTCGTCTTTGGGAGCACATACAAAATCCCTAGTTGCTGGTCTCGATTTTGTGATCTTCAGGAATGAACGCGAGTTTTTAAGAAAAAAATTAAAGAACAATTATATGAGTTGTCGAGGTTTATAGCAGAGATGGTATTATGATTAGGGTTTGCTGAGAGAAGAGAAGAAGAGAACGAAGGGAGATCTGAAGCGGGGTATTTAAAAATTTTAGAATTTTAAGAGGATCTCCTCAAGAATACGCATTTTAATTAAAAAACATAAAGCGACATTCACAGAGGACACACGTTTTAAATAAAGTGCCCTCCGTGTTTGTAAGTTTTTTTACATGAGACACTAATTTAATGGCACGTAGTAATGCGTGATGTAAATCCTTCAATTTTTTGAAGAGATGACACTTTTTTAATGTCACTCTCTTTTGCGTAACATAAATCAATGAGCGTCGTGGTTTGCACGTCGTAAAAGGCTGTTTTTCTAGTAGTGCTTCTTGAAAATCCATTTGAACCCAACAGTCTTACGACCTGGTACATTGTGATCCAAGTTCCAAATTTGATTGTCATACATGGACAGTATCTCCCTTTCCATATCCTCTTTCAATTTAGCAGCCTCAGGGCCATCCATGGCTTCTGTGTAGTTGTTAGGTTCATCCAGACCTATCAGTGTGTTATCACTTACAAGTTTATCACCTTCCGCAGTAATATGGAAACCATAGTAATGCTCAGGTGCATTCCTAACTCTCGTGGAATGCCTCAGAGGTACAAACTCGTCAGTTGGTTCAACAGGATTTTCCTCCTCAGGTGGATAACTAGGATTTGAGGTTCCTTCACCACTTGACTCTTGAATTTCTTCAAGGTCAATTTGCCTCCCACTGTTTCCTTGGCTTATGAACTCTCTCTCGCGAAAGACTCCTCTTCTTGCTACAAAGACCACATTATCATTGGGTTTGTAGAAGAGGTAACCAAAGGATTTCTATGGGTAGCCGATGAAAATACACCTCTCACTTTGAGGCTCGAGCTTATCGTGAGTCTTGCGCCTCACGAAAGCATCGCAGGCCCAAATCTTGATGTGGTCCAAATTAGGAACTTTCCCAGTCCACATCTCGTGAAGTGTTTTGGCTACCTTATTGGTAGGGACAAGATTAAGGATATGGGCAGCAGTCTCTAAGTCATACCCTCATAATGAGATTGGTAGCGAAGCTCAACTCATCATGGAACGAACCATGTCCAACAAGGTTCGATTACACCTCTCAGCCATACCATTAAGTTGTGGTGTCCTGGGAGGTGTCGATTGTGAGACAACCCACATTCCTTAAGATATTCAAGGAACTCTGTACTAAGATACTCACCACCTTGATCAGATCGAAGCATCTTAACATTCCTGCCCAAATGATTCTCCACTTCCTGCTTAAACTATTTGAACTTTTCAAAGGTTTCTAACTTATGCTTGATCAAGTAGACATATCCATATCTACTATAATCATCAATAAAAGTCACATAGAAGCAGTTAGCATCCCTTGTGGCGGTTCTGAAGGGTCCACACACATCCATGTGTACCAGATCTAACAAACCCTCACCCCTAGCACAAGTACCATTGAAGGGTGATTTTGTCATTTTTCCAAGTAGGCAAGATTCACAACTATCATCCGACTTTAGGTCAAATGACTCCAAGACTCCATCCTTTTGGAGCTGGCCTATACGTTTCTTGCTTACATGTCCAAGACGACAATGCCACAATGATATTTTATCCAAGTTAGTGGAAGAATCAATACACAACACATTATTTCCTAGGTTATCTACAACCGACACAGCTTCATACACACCATCACAAGGTAATGCTTTAAAAGAAAGAACATTATTAAAGAAAGCATTAAAACCACAAAATACATTATCAAAAGAAAAGGTAAACCCTTGTTTGTACAAAGCATGAAAGGAAATAATATTTCTCGCCGTTTCAGATGATTAACAACATTTATTCAAATCTAAAGTTAACCCACTACTTAGCAACAAAGTATAAACTCCAATCTTGGTGACAAGTGAAGCTTTCCTATTCCCCATGATTAAACTTATCTTTCCATGCTCACATCCTCACCTCTTCTTAGTCCCTTCAAATCAGAACAAATATGAATACCACAACCGGTATCAAGTACCCAAAAATTAGAATGTGGTGAGTTATTAGACAATATAGTGTAAATACCTGCATGGTTGGGTTTTACTTTCCCATCCTTCACATCTTGCAGGTATTGTGGGTATTTTCGCTTCCAGTGCGACTTTTCATGGCAATAGAAGCATTCGGCCTCTTTAGGGTTGGCAGAAGGAGTGACAGAACCTTTATTGGTTCCACCTGAAGAGGAGCCATCAAGGGACTTTCCCTTGGTGCCCTTCGAAGGGCTCTTCATCTTCTTTCCTTTGCCTTGCCCGATTGCCAAGACATGGGTCATGGTAGGAGTAGGAGTGGTAACAATCGATTTACCATTAAGACCATTGTTGGCGGTATTCAAGAGTCCTTGAAGTTTGTTGAGTGTAACTTCCTCCTTGTTCATGTGGTATGTCATCCGGAATTGATCAAAACAAGAAGGTAAGTGTTAGATTCCATTTTATGCATCTTATAGGGTAGTTCTTATTATCATTTTAGCATCATATTTTGTACATTTTCATGTCATTTATTTAAATAATGTGCTCATGTCTTTCATTAGAATTCCCGTACTGCTCATGTTTTTATGTCAATTTCAGATAGTTCGAGTGGAGCAATGCTTTAGGAGCAGTTGGATGTGCGTTTGGAGCTTAAAATGAAGCTTGGAACTTATGGAGTATGTTGAGGAATTCTTAGAAG